GTTAGAAACCTACTACCCACAAAAAACCCGTTGGATTTTTCAAATTCTTTTATCTGAGGCGAAAAAAGCTATTTTTTTGCACTGATTCATTGTCAAAAAATTTAGGAATTAAAAAATCGCGCGAAAGATCATTCAGCAGCATATTTTTCAAGGATCTTGAGTGTACTCATCTTTTCCTCTCCACACTTTCCTTTTACCTATATTCTGGTCTTGAAAAGTCTACCGAATTTGTAAATGCCAACTGCAGCTTCATCTGATTCCTTCAGTGATCGCTCGGACTCGATTTTGATAAGTTATGAGAATTATAAGCTTTGTGTAACAAAGAGATCTGATCATGCGAGTAAATTGCCAGCCAAAACCACAGCTGCTGTAAATATTCCTCAAGCTTTCGTGCACTTCGCGGATCGCTGCTTTCCTGCGTACGGACTACTGCGAGATCTCGCACAACTATTGTCAATTTTGCTTACATTTTCATGTTTCATTTGTTCACTCCGGATTACTCTCACCTCACAAACTCAGGTCCTGCTCTGAATAGTTACGGCGGCGCCGACTGCAAAAACGGGAACTGCAGAAGGCCATGCTGCTACTATCCAAACCTGCGATGCTGTGGTGCTGACCTGCCGTGCTGTCCACCACCGCCGAAACCACTGCCGTGTTGCAATCCAGTACCAACGTACTGCTGCTATTTGACACCACCGTGTTTGCGGTAAGTTGACCTAGAACACTTTCCATGCTTGGAGCGTGTCAGCATTTGAACTTCTGAAGCTACAGTAAGTCAGTTCTTGACTCAAGCGTGTTTACAACGCAATAGCTGACTAATAATGGTTACAATAATCCTTCAATTCATTCACGAAAATTTTGAAAAACCCCAGGCTGCAACGCACCAGACTTGCCGGTGCGATCATGCATTTTTGCGCAAAACCTGCAGAACGTTAACAGCAAAAATGGTTCCTGCGCTGTGGTTTAACAACTGGTCTCATATTAGCTGTTTTTTGATCTTTTTCTGCATGCAGAGGGAAAGGGTGCCGGCTGGGACGAAATTGTTGCATATTGCGTCTCATGGGTCTCCAGCGTCCATGATTATCGGTTTTGCATGAAGTTCTGATTTTTTCGGTAAAAATGCAAATTGGATGGAAGTCAGGAGAGGGCTACGAAATTCGCAAAATGCACTCGCTTTTGAGTTTGCGATAAGTATGAGTATTTATTTGTTATAGAAAAAAGCGAAATAAAGGGAAAAGAAAGGAAGAAATGAAAATTAGAAAATTTGTGAGATTATTATAATAGTAAGAATTGTTGTGGTCCATTAAGTCGTATGCATTTCTTAATATTGCCACAGTTGGACTTCGTCAGTAGGACAATTGTGGTAATTTAAGTTAGTGAAAGTTAAGGTTAAATTAATTGCATAATGCGTGTTAGTATTAAAAAAGTGTAATGGAAGATGAGTAGTAATACCAATTGACTGGTTAATATAGTGGAAAAATTAAGATTTTACTGCAGACGGTTTTGTTGACTCTATAAAGAGATAGTAATAGATGATGCCGAACATAATCTATAATATTATTAACTGTTAGACGGTTTGTAATATTTAAGTTTGTAGTATGTTAACTATTTATAATGTGTATCTGCAAGTTTATATGTACTAATGATAAATGCTTGTTATGTATTATAAAATATTATATTAAATATTAC